CAGGACAGAGAAGCTTACAATCCAACTTGGACCATTTTACAAAGACAATTCCTCTCTCCTGTGTGCTGCTTATTTGTGTATTATTCCAATCACTGTATTGCGCCTTTTTGTTCTTTCTAATTTTGAAGTTGGTGGAATACAGTTAAATATTATTTTTAAAATATATTCTCTTCCCCACATGTTGCCTTGTTACATAAGCATCTGCAGATGGTGCTACAATATTTTATTTCATATTTTTTATATGGGAATAATTAACAAATAATTGTAAAGTTTTCTACATATTACTGTACTTGGTTTCTCACATTTTTAGTAAGATTTTATCTATACAATATGTTTCTCACTTTAACCTGTGAGTAGCAAGTTAAATCTCAGTATGCTGGTCTGAGCTTCATCTCTGTCTTCTTGAGGGAGTAATGATGGCCACGAAAAGGATACCAATTGACACCATTAGCATAAGACTCATGTGCACCTCTCAGGTATTTACCATTCAGGTTGGAGGAATGACAACTGGAATACCACCAAGCTCCAAGGTAACTGAAATTAAATGACCAAAATGAGAATTTTTCTAATGATTCTATTGTAATATACCTAAATAATAATAAAAATAAAGCTAATTGTTTTCTGCAGAGAGTAATGCCACTTTCTATTTAAAATAATGTATACTCAGGGTGTCTAAATGATGGAAATACCCTAGTGGGTTTAGCACTTAGTTTTGATTATAATAATAATAAATGATAGAAAAAATTAGAATAGAAATCATATCTCTCTTGTTCAGAACGGCTTAGCGCTTCTTTTTGATTATAATAATAATAATCTTGTTCAGAAAAGTAGCCCTGTATGACCCTTATGGGTTTAGCACTTAGTTATGATTATAATAATAGTTGTTCAGAAAAAATATCCATATAATTAATTAAAAGGTGTTTTGAATTCTTTCTACAGAAGGTATTTTCATAGCTGGAAAAGAAAATTGTGCATTTCTGAAATAAAAAATTGGCTAATAGTATTGAGTTTAGGGGCTCCAATGAATTAATCCTCCTTTTATTGCTGTAACACAAGCAATTTACCCATAGCATTGAAGAAATAGTTATTTCTTGTGCATATTTTTTTTTAGGGGGCATCTTAGCAGGACTTTAGAGTCCTGGAGGTGGGAAGTACAGTGCCTGCACTCTGAAGGAGGGGTGGAGATTGTTGCAGTTTGGAGGGCATCTGAACTGTAGTATATACATGCCTCTGGCGAGATATTAACAGATTGAATTATAGCGAAAGTATTTATTTTTTGGGTTACCCTACCTTGGTAGGAGACAGCTATTGTATTAAAAAAACATATTTTTGTAAGAAACAGAATGTATCTGGTAAAATATACCCTGGGCCAATCAGCATGCATAACTCACCAGCCCTGTGAAGTAAACACTTCAGTACTACCAACACCTAAACAATGCCTCATCAAAGGAATGAGCATAAGTTGACCTTTTATATCATAATTCACAGTCTTTAATGGACAAGGAAAATGTGCATTACAACTAAGCAATGTAAATGTGACTATAAATGATAATTAATGGGTTAGGTTCGGTTGGATTTAGATTAGGTTGGGTTGGGTAAGGATGAGTTTAGCTAAGTTAAGTTAGGTTGCTTGTATCAGAAATATGTACACCAATAGTTGGAAGCATAATAGTTTCAAAATATTCCACATAAAGGTAGCAACAATGAGGGATGGGGATAAGCTCAACAACACCAAATGTTTAAGAACAGTAATTTAATTGAGAAGAAAGTGACACAAAATACACATTTATGTATGCAAAACAACCATAGGCCTTTAGTGTTGCAATCAGCATATCAGAAGCTTGCAGTGTTGTAGGAAAGAGGAGGTCCAAGCAAATATGATCACAGGGAGCACCTTTGCAAAGTCACTCCCTGTGATTGTATCATACAACTCCCGTGGTTGTTTCGCTTCTTGTATCACTTATTTGCGATTTTTGCATAATATTTATGTACATTCACTACTTTCCCTACCATGCATAAGTTGTCAAGAAAAACGTTATTGTATCTCTTGTGCTCCACTCCCTCTGTATCTGTGATCATCAGTTTCTCGACTCTGAAATTTTCATTCATTGAAGTTCATTCTCTCGTCTTGGCCTTACTCCTAATTACATAAACTCTTTCTACTTTCCTGCTAAATGAACCTTCTCTTCAAAACTATACTTTGCCTTTCCTGTATAGTATTTATATTTTTCATTTACAAACATCTTAACCCTTTCAGGGTTTCGGACATACTAGTACGGCTTATGCACCAAGGTTATTGACGTACTAGAACGCCTAAATTCTAGTGCCTTCATATCTAGCGAGAGAAAGCTGGCAGGCCTACATATGAAAGGATGGGTCTGTGTGGTCAGTGTGCGCAGTATAAAGAAAATCCTGCAGCACACACTGTGTAATGAGAAAAAAAAACTTTGACCGTGTTTTTAGATTAAAATAGTGACTGCACTGTATTTTTGTATGGTATTTATGGTTGTATTCTAGTTTTCCTGGTCTTATTTTATAAAATGGAAGACATATTACAGAAATTGAGATGATTTTGATTGGTTTCACAATGAAAAATACCTTGAAATTGAGCTCAAAGTAGCAGAAATGTTCGATTTTTACCAAAGTTCGAAAGTAAACAGATCATGTCAAGCGTCCAATACACATCAACTGGTGAGTCTAATATTCTTTCACAAGTGTGCTGATATTATTTATACCATTTCTACATTAATGCAGTAGTCTGCATAACAGTAAATCTTCTGTTTTTTTGTGAGAATAAAAATTCAAAGCAGAAAGCAAAAGAAATGTAAGAGGGGCCTGGGGACGTGACTAACGAACAGAGAACTTGTTATTTTAGTGCCAGGAATGTCTGTCTTGTTTATTCTGGGCCCTATTTGGAAATTGGCATCTTCTGAAATTTGTGTGAAATTGGCAAAATTGCCAATTTCTAACCACTTTGTTGGATAGTTGAAATTGGTAAATGGGTGGTTTCTTGTACTCATTCGATAGAAAAAATGGAGTTCTAGCAAATAATTATGATTTTTGTCGACTAGTACACAGGAATTGGCCGAAAATAGGGCTCAAAGTGGGCAAAATCACCGATGCGTGAATATCGTCGAGACCGTTAACTTCATGAGAGCATAATTCCATAAATTTTCCATCAAATTTCATACTTTTGGTGTCATTGTGATCGGCAAAAGATTCTCTATCATTTCAAAATAATTTTTTTTTTTTTTCCCTAAAAATTTTCGACCCTGAGAACGAGTTTAGGAGAGGGTCTCTCAACCCTGAAAGGGTTAATAGGCCTCTGTGCAGTGGATAGTCAACTTTGATTCATCACATACACTGTAGCAATCTGGTTCAAGTACGTCCCACTGATACTTCCGGTTCCCTTAATGGAGACGAAGGGATGCTGGTGAGAGGCTCTAAATCTAAGGAACTGAACTTATCCCTCCCCTTTCTTGGATCAAACTTGATTGCCTCCTATTCCTTAGGTGCTGTATAACTCCTATGGGTTTAACCCTTCCTACCAGTTAAAATTAATAAATTATATTTCTGGTATTTTCTCTATTTCCTGTATCTCTTACCCTCTCCAGTACATTAGTGAAAGTGTCTGCTGCCTTTCTTACAGATTAAAAATAACAATAGAAGTCCTCATCTTGCTGTTAGAGACAATAAGTATCCTATAAGCTGCTTCACTGCCAAAATGATCCATCACTTTTAGCTTTACAGATGCTGTTTTGTTGAACTGGCCCTTATACACATTATTTCTAATATGCATCTTAAACCTGACTATATGTTTGCTGATGCCTATCTTTATATGTCTGTCAAATGTTCAAATCTTCAGAAGACGTGACGACACAAACTTGGCTCTTTCCTCATCTCTTTTTGATGTGTCTTCTGGCCTTTTCTTCACCTGACATTTTTTTCTCTATTTTCTCCTCAGCTTTACCTCACCTATATTCTTGTTATTTTACGTTGTCTCTCTGTCAGTTATTTGTGAAGTAATACCTAGAGACACAATAGATTATTTTTCCTACCTTACAGCACAGCTTCCTGAGTAAGTATCAAGATCATTATCCTTAGTAGAAAACTTTTGGGTGTTGACCCCACTGAAGCCATCACCAGCATCTCCAGTATAGCCATTAACCTCCACCTTGAATGAGGAGCTCCTGTCATGGACATAGAAGAATTGGTACTCTGCCCAGCGAGTGACATTGTCAAAGTCTGCCAGCTCAAAACGTATTTGGTTGAATGTTTGATCAGTAAGGGCATGGATGTGGTCAAGGCCAAGCCAGAACTCGCCAGAAAGATTGCCAAAACCCAAAGCATATTCCATCCAGGTGCGGTAAAAGTCTTCATGTAGGAGTACATCTTCTCGACGCTGGATAACAGTCCAGCCTCCTCCATTATTGTCCATATCACAGTAGACACGGACAGGGCGTTTGGGACAGCAGTCATATGGATAGATGGTGTACACACCACTAGTTTTGTGGCCATGCTCTTGCAGTTCACGGCAGTTCCGGTCTTGGAAGCCAAGTCCTGGCCACAGAGCCTCAAGAAATTTACTGTCGAGAGTGGTGTCAGCATTGGGAGTGTCATCTGCTGCCACCATCAGCAACACACTCCAAGCACCCACTATCACCAGCATCCACTGTAGCCCATCCATCTTCCACTTCATGAACCTAAAATTAATGATCAGAAAATTACTATTTTGTTACCATTCTGTGGAAACTTTTTTTTAAATTATATCCATAGTTAAGTAATTTATTAACCCGTAAATGGTCAAAACTTTAAACATTTGAAAGTATGCAAAAAAAGTAGATCTTTTTGTTTTTCTACATTTGAAAATGTGTAAAAAAACTTTGATCTACTTTTTTTTTGTTATATTTGAAAATATGTAAAAAAAACTTAGATCTACTTTTGTAGCACTACACATGTGAACGTAGATCTGCTTGGACCGTTTACGGGTTAATGGTTAACAAATTTGTGTCTTGAAATTTTTACTTTAGACTTTTTACCTTCAGTTGTAAGGTTATTAACAAGTGTATGAACGTTGAACAGTAGACTTGCACTAACCCAACCAGTCCTTAACTAACAGATGGGGTTCAATTGTTGCACAATAGAGAGGTATCCCCTGCATTCCATAACACCAGCCTCCTGTCCCTCAATGTATGCAAGAAGCATAGTAGGAGCTGGTCAGTTCTCCCAAGAGGAGGCCAACACCTTTAAGAGGCACAGGAGCTTTAGTTCAACATAAGAAGCCTAGCACAAAACTTAATGTCCTCAAGACCCAGGAGCTGTATATTAACTCAGGCACTGTTAAAATATGGGATAAATCAGACAAAAGTAGGAGTTTAATATCCCATAGAATTTTCAACATTTTTCACTAACTGTGATATGCAATTCACAAGGGATATTATTATTATGGGGGACCGCTAAACCCATAGGGATTATACAGCGCCTGTGGAGGGGGACATGGAAGGCATTCAGGCTCAATTCAGGGAACTGGAGCACTGATCCAATTCCCTAGATCAAGAGCCCCTCACTAGCATCAAAGAACCTCCCTTGATGGGCAAGTGATAATAACAGCTATACCAGAAGGAAACTTTGAAGTTGCCATAGCTGATGAACCCTTGCTGGAATCCTTGATGATATTCTCATTACCTTATTAACTGATGTTTCCCAGCTCAGACTGACACATTTCAGTACTTTGTATGGACTATGACAGGGAAACAGTTAGCTTTTACTTCCACTGTATCATTTAGAATAGGGAAGCAGCATCCTGCTAATGTATACAATTTTGCTAAATAAAAAAAAGTTGGATACATAATTATTTTAATACAACTGAGAAAATGGCATCTACAAAGCCCAATAAAATTCAGAACTTTCAACCCTGGCAGCGCTGTATAGCCCTTGTGGCTTAGCGCTTCTTTTTGATTATAATAATAATAATTTCAACCCAGGTGAACCAGGGTTGAAAGTTTAAAACTGATATGGTATAAACCTTGGTAATAAATACCGACAAGTTGGTTTAGAAAAACACGTAAGCAAACACTATGACATATTTATTAGAAAACGTTTCGGTCCTGGGACCTTGATCACTTCTACCATACAGAGGTAGAAAGACTATATATATAGGCGGAGAGTGAGGTGTGACGCACGTGACCTGAGGAATGTCATAAGAACATAAGAATGAAGGAACACTGTAGAAGGCCTACTGGCCCATGCGAGGCAGGTCCTTATCAAAACAACCTCTGCCTATGATGAGGACGGGTAGACGATGAAATCATGTGACTCCTGTGTTGTTGGGTTGGTGGTGCTTAAGTATCATGTATGCCAATGTTTTTGAAATTTTGTAGTTTCCAGTGTTGCGTTCTATAGTGTCGGTGACGGCGATTAGTGAGGCTTCTAGGCACCGTCGGCATCTGAGATCTGGTTCGGTGAGAACGAGTTGTGCCTCATTCCAGTTCATCAAATGTCCCGTGGGGTCTCTGTGGAGGACACCTTACATCGTCTCTGTTAGAGGCATTTCGATGCCTCTATGAATGAGCATCGAAATGCCTCTAACAGAGACGATGTAAGGTACGCCTGTGTCCTCCACAGAGACTCCACGGGACATTTGATGAACTGGAATGAGGCACAACTCATTCCCACTGAACCAGACCTCAGACGCCGACGGTGCCTAGAAGCCTCACTAATCGCCGTCACCGACACTATAGAACGCAACACTGGAAACTACAAAATTTAGAAAATATTGGCATACATGATACTTAAGCACCACCAACCCAACAACACAGGAGTCACATGATTTCATAGTCTACCCGTCCTCATCATAGGCAGAGGTTGTTTTGATAAGGACCTGCCTCGCATGGGCCAGTAGGCCTTCTACAGTGTTCCTCCATTCTTATGTTCTTATGTTCTTATGACATTCCTCAGGTGACGTGCGTCACACCTCACTCTCCGCCTATATATATAATGTCTTTCTACCTCTGTATGTTAGAAGTGATCAAGGTCCCAGGACCGAAACGTTTTCTAATAAATGTGTCATAGTGTTTGCTTACGTGTCTTTCTAAACCAAAACTGATATAAAAGGAATTCTCAAGTTATCACACTGAAGCCAATATCCCAGTTTGCTAGAGGAAATTTAAAAATTACCCCAACAGCCCAAAATGAATCCAAACTTTCTACTGAGTATGATATACCCTTGTTCAGAGTTTGAAACTGTATGACCCTTTAAAGATTAGCATTTAAATTGCTTATAATATTAGCTGATCATATTAGGAATTATCAAGTTATTGTGTGGCAATCAATATGCCAAATTGTTTATTAAAAATGGAACTGTGGTGCTTATACAGCCCAGTAACAATGCAAATATTCATTTGAGCAAAATACAACAGTGCTGAAAGTTGGAAACCAAACAGAACGGCATTCTCCAATTATAAGCTCTGTAATGCGATTTTACCTCATATGTGCTCTGTACACACTTCAGAAGACTAGGTAAGGAAGATAGGTCAAGATAAATTAATCATCCTGCTTTGTGTGTCAGTCTGTGATTGAAATGCCATTTTCTGCATGCAGCTTGGAGAAATAATTGCTTGTCAGTAATCTCTCTGATTATTTTAAGATCTTGTGTAACAATTTAGTACAATATTTGTGTCAGGAAATACTGAGGTGAAATATATTTGTTTCCTACGTATGTTAAAACAGATTGTTGACAGTGCGAACATTATTGTGAATGTTAACATGATTTGGATTAACAGGGTTATTGACACATCAGGATTAAATATAATTTGTCTAAGCAGGATATGTCTGATTTGGGAGGTACTTTTCAACTACTGTATATTTTTGAAGCAGGTGACTTTCCCCATCTTCTAGGAGTTTCAAATTTTAGAGCCCTTTATTTACATGAAATTCCTGTATAGGGAAAGTCAAACATGCAGTACATTAAGGAGATACTTATTTCTTGTATTATGTATGTGTTCTGTTGCAGCTCTCCAGGAAGAATCGGAGTGCTCAGTTGAAATTCATTCTGAATGTCCTGTATATGTAGAATGTAAGTGTGGGTTTGTTGTATCTTCAGTAAGTCTGAGATTTTTGAATAGTGGGGGAGGGGGGCAGTTTGGAACCTGAATGGGTGATTATTCTAAGACCTGATTTCTGTTGGGTGACAATAGATTTTAGGTAACTTCTTGTAGTAGATCCCCCAGCACAAACACCGCAAGTGATGTGAAGATAGATTAGAGAGTACATAGTACCAAGTGAGTATTTTTGTTTGAAGAACAAAGTAGTGTACAGTGGTACCTTGACGTACGAGTGCCCCAACTTACACGAGTTTTCAGAGTTACGAGCCGTCGCTCAGTTGTTTTTGTTTCGAGTTGCAAGTCAAAATCTGAGTTACGAGCGAGATACACCACCACTAGTTGGTGGCGTATCTGAAGTCAAATCCAACTCTGTACCCAGAGGAATGTCAGGTACTTCGTCCCATCCCACATGCTCTTCCAAGACATACAGTGGACCCCCGGTTAACGATTTTAATCCGTGCAAGAGGGCTCATCGTTATGCGAAATAATCGTTATGCGAATCAATTTTCCCCATAAGAAATAATGGAAATAAAATTAATCCGTGCAAGACGCCCAAAAGTATGAAAAAAAATTTTTTTTACCACATGAAATGTTAATTTTAATACACACAAACTGAAAAAGGCATGCACAATTAAATGACACTTACTTTTATTGAAGATCTGGTGATGATTGATGGGATGGGAGGAGGGGAGAGAGTGTGTTAGTGTTTAGAAAGGGGAATCCCCTTCCATTAGGACTTGAGGTAGTAAGTCCTTTTCTGGGGTTACTTCCCTTCTTCTTTTAATGCCACTAGGGCCAGCTTCAGAGTCACTGGACTTCTTTCGCACAAGATATCTGTCCATAGTGGCCTGTACCTCTCGTTCCTTTATGACTTGCCTAAAGTGTTTCACAACATTGTCAGTGTAATAATCACCAGCACGGCTTGCAATAGCTGTGTGAGGGTGATTTTCATCCATGAAGGTTTGCACTTCAAGCCACTTTGCACAGATTTCCTTAATCTTTGAAGTAGGCAACTTCTTCAATTTCTCTCTCCCCTCCTCCGAAGCAATTTCCTCAGGTGTGGCCTCTTGCTGTTGAAGTTGATCTAGCAGCTCATCAGTGGTTAGTTCTTCATTGTCCTCCTCCACCAACTCTTCCACATCCTCCCCACTAACCTCCAACCCCAAGGACTTTCCCAATGCCACAATGGATTCCTCAACTGGACAGGATTCTCAGGGTTAGCCTCAAACCCTTCAAAATCCCTTTTGTCTACACATTCTGGCCACAGTTTCTTCCAAGCAGAGTTCAAGGTCCTCTTTGTCACTTCCTCCCAAGCCTTACCTATAAGGTTTACACAATTGAGGATATTAAAGTGATCTCTCCAAAACTCTCTTAGAGTCAGTTGAGTTTCTGAGGTCATTACAAAGCACCTTTCAAACAGAGCTTTTGTGTACAGTTTCTTGAAGTTGGAAATAACCTGCTGGTCCATGGGCTGCAGGAGAGGAGTGGTATTAGGAGGCAAAAACTTCACCTTAAAGAAGCTCATGTCCCATAAAGTCGCTCTGACACGTCTGTAGGATGACCAGGGGCATTGTCTAACATCCAGGAGGCACTTAAGTTCTAATTTCTTTTCAGTTAGGTAATTTTTCACATTGGGGGCAAATGCATGGTGTAACCAGTTATAGAAAAATTCCCTAGTGACCCATGCCTTACTGTTTGCCCTCCACAGCACACACAAATTATCCTTGAGGACATTCTTTTGCCTGAACGCTCTGGGAGTTTCAGAGTGATACACTAATAAAGGCTTCACTTTGCAATCACCAGTAGCATTGGCACACATCAACAAAGTAAGCCTGTCTTTCATTTGGCTTATGTCCTGGGAGTGCCTTTTCCTCCTGAGTAATGTAGGTCCTGCTTGGCATTTTCTTCCAGAACAGGCCTGTTTCATCACAATTAAACACTTGTTCAGGTTTCAGTCCTTTTAGTTTCTATGTACTCCTTGAATTCCTGCACATATTTTTCAGCCGCTTTGTGGTCCGAACTGGCAGCCTCACCATGCCTTATCACACTATGGATGCCACTACGCTTCTTAAATCTCTCAAAAACCTTTGCTGGCCTTTAAATTCACTCACATCATCACTAGTTGCAGGGATTTTTTTTAAT